CATAATATATTTATGAGATGAGGCCGACAAAGATGGTGAGTTGTCTGTACACCATGCCTGAAAGTTCCATAGTCCTGATAAGAGATGGTACAATGTCTATCAACCAGCTCTGATACAGGTTCGCAGAAGTCCGCAAGAAGGGAGCAGGAGGGGGGGGAGCAAAGCATAGCTTCTAGTTTGTATAAACTCCATGAGAAATTTGAGATGTTGGTCTATTCAAGGCCAAGCAGGAAGCCAGATTCAGATAATACTAATTGTCGCTTAAACTGGCAACACATAGTTTGTATTGGAGGTCTCAAACTGTTTCAACCCATCCATCCATCCATCCATCCGTCCGTCCGTTCGTCCGTCCGTCCGTCCGTCCATCCATCCATCCATTCATCCATTCATCCATCCATTATCTTTACCCGCTTCTTCCTTTTCAGGTCACGAGGGTCATTGGTGCCCATATCTAGCAGTCACGGTGTGAGAGGTGGGGGGCACCTTGGACTGGTCTCCAGTTCATCACAAGGACACAAAGAGAAAAACGAGACAAACAACCATTCCCTCTCTCACTCACACCTAGAGACAATTTAGAGTTACCAATCAGTCTAACATGCATGTTTTTGGTCTGTGGGAGTACCCGGAGAAAACCCACACATACATGTCTAAAAAAGTTAAATCTGGTCCTCTAGACGTTCAAAAAACAAAACAAAGCAAAACAACAAAAAAAATGTAGAAACGTTTCGTCTTTCATCCAAAAGACTTCCTCAGTCTGAGGAGCTGTATTCAGCTCAGTCTTATAAATAGCACCTTCTCAGAGTGGATCAACCAGTTTGCTGCTGACAACCAAAACCAGCTATTCACATAATCAAGGAGGACCATCAGCCTAACGATGGATCATTAGCACACTGGTGGCTGTTTACTATTCACAGAGGGCTGAGTGATACTAGCAATCACAGCATTGTAAGAGGGGGACAGTTGAACACGGAGGCCTCCACCCGTGTTCAACTGTCCCCTGAGCTGAATACAGCACCTCAGACCGAGGAAGTTTTTCGGATGAAAGACGAAACGTTTCTACATTTTTTTGTTGTTGTTTTGTTTTGTTTTTTTGAATGTCCAGAGGACCAGATTTAACTTTTTTAGATTTTTCTACAAGGATTATTGAGCATGCATCAGGATATTTTGAACCACACATACATGGGTAGAACGTACATCCATCGAGAAAGGCCCTGGGCCGGGATTTGAGCCGACGACCTTCTCACTGTGAAGGCAACACTGAGCCACCGTGCCACTGTTTTAACCAACAAGTCCATTTCAGTTACAATCAAAGACCTAGTATCGCTAGAAGAAATGCTAGGCTAACATTTGTCCAGTGGTTCTTCTTGAGATGTTTTACTAAAAGACAGACACCACTGCAAAGATGTCATGCAATGTGTAGCACTCAAAGTATGTGTTCGGGGTGATGCTCAGCTACGACCACACCACATTTTAGGTTATTATCTGTAAAAATGGCAGTTATAGCCTGTTTTGTATTCCTTAATCAGTTGACTGTGGTAGCCATCTTAATTTGGGTTGACTTCAGGTGTTAACAAGTTGAAGATGTATGCATTATGATTATTTTCCCATTGTTTGATTAAATACTGTCCTCTAGTTCATGAAATATTTTTCTAATGCTAAAGACAAACACATGAACACAGCTTTCATTATTGCTCTTTAACATGGGTGTTAGGGCGGTAAAAATGTTGCTATCTATGGTATGGTTGAAAGGAAAGATGTTCTACTGTGTGGATGAATGCAGCAGAACAGCTGTTTTTAAAATACTGTACATCTTGAGCAGGGGTGTCAAACTCACTTACTAAAGGGGGCCACGATTAAACTATTTTTCAAAGTAAGGGCCAATTTCAAAAACTACATTAACTAAAATCAGATACCCAACATCTTTTCTTGGTCACAGGTTCCTCAACAAGAGTTTGATTGGTTTCATTTGATGTTCTCTGCTGTGCTTTCGACATCATAATCAAAGATTAATGAAAAAATTCAATAGAAAGAAGTATTTTATGTTTCACATATCATCTTGAGGGCCTGAGAAGATGTCAACGAGGACCACATCTGGCACCTGAGCCTTCAGTTTGACACAGTATACAGGCGCATCTTGAAAATTTTGAATATCGTAAAAAAGTTAAATTCTTTTTGTCAGTCATTTCAGAAAGCAAAACTCATATTTTATATAGATTCATTACACATACTGTAGAGTGAAATATTTCAACCCATTATTTCTAGTGATTTTGATGATTATGACTTACAACATCCATCCATCATGTTCTGCTTGTTCTGAAGTCGTGTCACGGGGCTGCAGCTTGAGCAGGGAGGCCCAGTTATCTTTTCCCACAGCCACCTCTTCCAGTTCTTCTGGGAGGATTCCAAGGCGTTCCCAGGCCGATCAAGAGACACAGTCTCTCCAGCGTGTCCTGGGTTTTCCCCGGGGCCCCCTCGCTAGTCAGACATTAAAGTAAAGTGCTATATGTTGTCATCATTGTATATAGATTCCCATACAGTGGTGAAATTAGTTTTCTTTAACCCATCACATGTGGGATACACCCAGGTGGAGCAGTGGGCAGCTATGTAGGTGCCTGGAGAGTAAATTAGGGATTGGGTGTCTTGCTCAGGGACACCACAACATGTGGGAATGGATGGGAGTCGAGCCGTGAATTTCAGGTCCCGGGTCAGCTGCCCTTCCTCTACCCCATCTTGGCCCCCGAGATGGCTTACAAACGATGAAAAACCAAATTTCAGTGTCAAAAAATTATAATATTACATATCCAGCGTTTGGTACCTTATAATCATCAAAATGACAAGAAATGAAGGCTTGAAATATTTCACTCTATTTAATCTATATAAAGTATGTGTTTCACTTTTTGAAGTGACTGACAAAAAATTCACTTTTTCACAATATTCAAAATATTTTAGATGCACATAGAAAATCGTTAATTCAACCTTTATTTATACAGGTTAGTCTCGTTGAGTCATGAGGACTCATTTTAAAGAGAGACCAGTAAAATGGTCTGAAATGGCCCTTAAATCTGAAAGAATAAGAGTTACATCCATCCATCCAGTTTTTGTACCTGCTTGATCCAATGCAGGTGCTGCAGGGAGCTGGTACCTATTTCCTGTGTGGTGCAGCACATGGTGGTTGACTGCCACATAGAAACAATCATGCACATACACACACAGACACCAAGGGCCGATTTGGAAGCATCAATTGACCTAACTTGCATATTTTTCTAGACTAAAGTACCCAATAGTAAAATAAAATAACCTGCGCACGGAATGATGCAAACTCCAAGTGAGTATTGAACCTACAACCTTCTTGCTGCAATGCAACTGCCTTAAATAGCTGCTCCACAAAACAGACTAAACGAAAACTCTTACTTTACCAACGCCCCCTACAGCCTCATACAAGGCAGAAATCATTAAAGTATTAAACCACAAAACTCTCAGACTGTGACAGCGAATCGATATCATGCCCACATTTTAACAAACACAAACTCAGTGAAGGATAAATGTAATCTTTTACTTGGAGGAATAATTTACTAAACATTTGGACTGACAAATGACATGCATTATTTACTTTTCCATTAAAAGATGCCTGACATGCCATGGCTCTACAGCTGCCTGGGTGTTTGATGTTTTCATTCATTACGCTAAAAATTATCTAATTGCCAGTCAGTTTAGTTATGAGCTTTGTTAAATAAACTAATTTGTAAAATGTTTGCAAATACACATTTAACAAATTCAGCTCCTGCAGAGTTTGTCATTCATTTGGTTAATTATTATGCTGGTTGACTTAAACTCTCGGGAGTCTTGTAATCTCTATGAGAACCGAATTTACTCTGGCAGATCACCTCGGCTTTGTGAGGAAATCAATAATCCTGCCTGGCTGTTTGCTTCTGTGTGGGCCTCGACACTTTCACTAAAGATGCAGGTTATTGAACACGGTGATGGGCTCAAGTTGTCACTGACAGTTTTGCAATTTGCCGGTTCCCAAATCTCAGTAATCAAATCTGTGTTAACCATTATGGAATCCTTCTCGTAATAATTGCAACAAACTGTGATGCAAACAAACATCTCAGTAAACTTTGTGTTGATTTTCTTGTACAATTATTGTAACTACAAACTGTTAATTATGTGTCGAGTGCTGTTGATTTAGCTGCTGATTAAATTTTTGCACAATTTTTATATTATGTGTCATCCAGAGTGCCTCATGACCATCATCTTGTGTTAACACGCTTTTCCTCCTCGATAATTAAAACTTTTGTCATCTCTGTCAGTCTTACACAACCAGACAAAGTATTTCCCCAATATCTCTTAAAATATTTAAAAGTTAAGAGTATTTTAAATATATCAATTTTTACTGTGAGTGCTTAAAAAAAAATCTGCATTCAAGATTGGATTTGTCAGTTCCACAGCTGTTTGTCTTCAAAGTATTCACTTTGATGATAAGAATAAAAACACCACAGCATTTATCTTTTTCTCTTTTTAATCTCTGTAAACTTGGATTACTATTTCTCTTTCCACAAAATGACTGTTGGCTGAGTTGGTGTAATTTTGGCTTTGAGTCAATGGCAAAATGTTTGGATACTGTGAAAGGAATCCTTACAGATCCATGTGTGCACATCCCACTGATGACACTATTATTAATTGTTAAAATAGAAAAATAAACTCAGTTTTGCTGTTAGGTGTAATATGATTTGATTGTGATGTTGTTTATTGATAAGGGAATTAAATTGCATCAATAAAATTTGTCATTAAATCTTTGCATTTATAAGTTCATTAAACTTAATTGAAATCTATTTCATTATCTATTTTTTATTTTCTTTCATTGTCTGATTCATTCTTGTATTAATATGAACTGTTTTTTCTTTCTTTCTTTCTTTCCTAGGGTGGAGGTCACAGGATTCCACCTCAGTGCAGCAACCTATTGATAAAAAACATATTTGGAGGAAAAAGAAACATATCTCATGTTCCTGACAATGGCACCTGCATGCCTATCCAAATTATGGGCCTGGCTCTTCATTGGGTTTCTGTGCGTGATAGGCTATAATGGCATGCTACAGTTTGCTGCAGCCACAATACAAGGATACATTGAAGACATGGACATGCCATGCCCATCAGTATGCAGGTGTGATGAGGACTTTATCTACTGCAATGATCGCGGGCTAAGCTCTATCCCATCACTGCCTCCTTCTGCGTCTGTCCTCTATCTTCAGAACAACCACATAAACAACCCTGGCCTTCCCATTTCCTTGGAGCACCATCTTTCAGTCCGTGTCGTCTACCTCTATGATAATGAACTGGATGAATTTCCCATGCACCTGCCACCATCTGTGCGTGAGTTGCATTTGCAGGATAACAACATTCGCACTATTCCTCGTACTACGCTGGCTCGGATGCCCTTGTTAGAAAAGCTCCACTTGGACGACAACTCCATTTCCACTGTCTCTATTGAGGATCAGGCCTTTGCTGACAACCCACGGCTGCGCTTACTTTTTCTGTCACGCAACCATTTGTCTAGTATTCCCTCAGGACTACCTGCCTCTTTGGAAGAACTTCGACTAGATGATAACCGGATCTCTACTATCCCAACCCATGCCTTCAGAGGCCTCAGCTCACTTAGATGTCTTGTTTTAGATGGAAACCTTTTGGCAAACCAGCGCATAGCAGATGACACATTCTCCCGCCTTTCTAACTTGACCGAGTTGTCCTTAGTGCGCAACACCCTCCAAACACCTCCTGTCAACCTGCCCAGTACACATTTACAGAGACTGTCTCTGCAAGATAATGCCCTGACACATATGCCACGTGGATCTTTGGATGGGATGCACCGGTTGCAGAGGTTGGACCTATCAGGAAATAACCTGACTACACTACCAAGAGGACTCTTCAAAGACCTTGACAACCTTGGCCAGCTGCTGGTGCGAGGAAATCCTTGGCACTGTGGCTGCAATTTGCGATGGCTGTATGACTGGTTGCGTGTTCGTGGTAACTCCATCACTGTCAGAGGACTCATTTGCCATGGACCTGACAGGGTGCGAGACATAGCTTTGATTGACTTGACCAGTGAGATGGAAGACTGTGAAGTATTGAGGATAACAGCAACTAAAGACAAAGGGGCTGTAGGGGGAGTTGAGAGCTCTACCACCAATGCACCTCCGCAGGGTTCTCTCTTCACACTTCGTTCAAAAAGACTCGGTCTAGGGCTTCCAGACTCTGCCTTAGACTACACGCTTAGTAGCAGTGGTGTGGGGAAGAGCTTGGCTCTAAATGTTAAACCTCTGACTCACAACAGCATCCGTGTTACCTGGAGTGTGGCTCAGCCAAGCTCCTCTTTCAGGTTGAGCTGGCTCCGACTTGGTACTGGGAATGCCATGGGATCCATTACAGAGACCCTTGTTAGGGGCGATCGTCGAGAATATTTGCTTACCTCCCTGCAACCACGCTCCAGCTACATCATCTGCATGGTGCCACTGCCTGCAAGCTCAGAAAGCAAAGTCACGATTTCCGGGGATGCTGACTCAGATGAAGCTGTAGTTTGTGCAAAAGCTGAAACATCTGACCTTATTCCACTGGAAGAGGAGGATGACAAATCACATCAGATTACAACTCTACCCCTTGCAGGGATCATTGGCGGAGCTACTGCAACCGTATCTCTAGCTCTTATTTTTGGCGTCTTTTGTTGGTATGCACATAGAACTGGCCATTTATGTTCCCGTGACCACTATACTCGCAGTAATTCAAGAAAAAGCAAAAACTATGATGATTATATTGAGTCTGGCACCAAGAAGGATAATACCATTCTAGAGATTCGTAGCCCAGGCTTCCAGATGACACCTATGCCAGCATGCCAGCCAGTACAGCCAAAACCCTTACGAGAGGATTACATCATTCATACAATATTCCCCTCCAATGGCACTGGCTTATACAAAGGATCAAACCATGTTTCCAATGCTGAACATGTCACCAACCGTGGCTACAGAGAAGGAGGCATCCCAGATATAGACTATTGCTACACATGATGTACTGTAACTGATGCTGTTCGTAGTGTAATTGGTAAACTGTATAGATGCACAAATTCCCTTGGCATGGACACTTCTGAAGCACCCTTCTGTGCCTTCTTCTTCTGGTCTCCCATTCCAAATGACCTACGTTCATTACAATGTACTGGATGTGAAACTGAAAACTGCATCAGAACAGTTCACTGCAGGAGGCATCAACCAATGCCCCAAGTGTAAATGCACAGCTGAGTGGTTCTTCACCGTATTATTAATGGCCTGTGTATGATTTCTTTTTGCTCTTTCCCTGTGACATGTAAGAATGTATCCTTTGTGGAAAGGTCAAACTTAGCATGGGGCAAGGAACAGTTCTTCTTTCACACACAGGAGCCTCAGCAGTCAGTTCAAAATGGATTTATTAATGATGAGAAACAGACATTTTTGGTACTGTTTTCCTGCCCACCGCACACACACAGTATGTCGTCTTATTGACTCATTGTTCCAAATGCCTCAACTATATTGATGTGCCCTACCAGCTATCCAAGGAAAGGGCTTTGTAAAGCTGTGAATTGTTCTTTTTCAAACAACCCAGTAACCACTTGTCTTAAAGTAGGTTTGTTTTTCCCAATTCATCAGATGGCAGGGTTGAGTTCTTCTGAAGGTTGTTCAGTAGTAGTGATACCTACTCAGATTGTTCTCATAGAATTTGTATCACAGCATTTGTTTTGCAGCACATTCGTGTTCATTTTTTATTTTGCTACTGAACTGGGCTGCGTTTATAAACTGCTTAGCTTTTTTTCAGTGGTTTGTTAAATAATGAAATTCTGCATTTCTATATTTGTTTAAAATGTCCTTTTTGAAATGGGTTTTATTTCTGATGAAACTGATTTAGAAAATTTTGGACCCTCATGTCTTTGTTTCTGTGTTAAACCCAGTGCTTGATGGAAATAGTGGCAATGTTTTATCAAATTGAAATTGAAAAAAAGAAAACATATTGATTGTTTCTCCAGACTTTTGTTTTTGTCTTATGCATTGGAGTGAATTCTCAATTGAGACTGTACATCTTTGTCATTTTCAAATCAGACACCACCCAAAGACTAGCATGTCACATTAGAAGCCAACCTCAACCACTTTTTCCCCAGTGTTGTGTCTGTGTGCTTCACCTGTGACTTCTGTTGCTGTTTCTTGTTGGGTTTTTTTTGTAAAATGTCTCCCCGACCTATTGACAGATTGGACAAACCACTAATGTGGTGCCTCCTACAGGAGGACAACTCTTGTGTGTGACCTAGAAGATGAGGCCAAGAACTGTGAGTGCATTTGAGGAGACTCAAACCGCTACACTGTTGACCTACACTGTGGGGCGGCAGCCAAGCTGAGTGGATGGGTGGGCAGGTGCGAGAGGAGAGCCAGGATGTGAGGTGACTCATCAGTGATCGGTGTTCATTGATGTTTGTTTTAGCAAGAGAAAAAGCCTCTGCTCATTCCACCTCTTTTATTACAGAGCAGCATTAAAATGTAAATGTCTTAGCACTTAGCAGGAGAGAGGAATAAATGTAATGACAGGCATGAGGAATCATAGGGTAAAGACACGTACCCACCCCCCACCCCGTGCCGGCAAAGATCCAGAATTGATGGCTCCTGCGTTGTTCAGTTCAACAATGCATAAATCTGTTTGTCATACCTGGATCATCCTACCCCTGGGTTTAATATTCTCCATCAGTTGTTTATCACTGTGTTGCTTCCAAAGGAGAAACCAATTGTGCTTCCTTGACTGTTCTGTCCAGCAGAGTTCTACACTGGTGCCGGACAATATGTCAGTGGAATGTATAATTTACCTTGCACCCATAATTATTGGCTCAAACAAATCCTACTGGCCTGGCTAAATCTGTTTTGGGGAATGTTGAAATTGTGTAATAGTTATTTTATAGTGGATCTATCAAAGATGCGTACTTCCTCTTCATTTGTATAAATAAAACCATGGCCACAGCCACATGGATATTTTTCTTCTGGTGAAGTAATAGAAAATAATGGTGCCATACCTTCTGCGTTGGGAAAAAAAAATGTAAACCTGAGCTATGTGTTTAATTTGCTTTATAAAGTCGTCTTCAGAGGGGATCAATAAAAGTTTTATAATCTTGTTACTACTGAAACCTTTCATTTCACCTTGCGCTCAGGGGCATTACCTTTCAGCAGCTCTAGAAACATCAGTGGACTACTAATTTTTGTTAAATACTTGGTTTTCATTCAAAATTAAACCCCTATGATTCTAGTTTGTGATGGAAACTTAGCTACAAATGTAGCAAGATGTTTAAAACTAGCTGAGATTATAAAACTGAGCTCATAGAGATCAACAAGCTGCTGCCTATACTTGACCTTTTGGCCTCGCTCAGACTTTACATTTGTTCTAGGTAATCTAATTACCAATGGACACTTAGCTGTGAATGCAACTAAAAAGCAAGAATGCACTGAAATCTGATCATTTATAACATATTTAAAACTCGTCTGGGTCACACACTGTTCAATCCATTGAGCATCATGATATATGATTTCCCCCTTTAACACAAACCTTTCTAGCCAGGCTTTGGACACGTTCATCCTGCCCATGTATTGTGTAAAATGTTGAAGTTCAGTCACCGCTGTTACCACTATGAGCTGAAACGTAGTCGCAGATCTGAATTGGTGAGTTGGCAAGTAGGTGTATGTCAAGCTCAAATACCTCCACTACAGCCCCAAATCCCAAATGAGTTGAAAAGGAGGCGCCGTAGATGAATTCCCATCAAACTGGCAGCGGTTCTCGAGTACCTGACCACTGAAATCCTGGGGCTGGTGGGAAACTCAGCTCGTGACAACGGGAGGACCGGGATCATCCCCTGGCACGTTCAGCTGTCTGTCTGTGGTCACGAGGAGCTCGGCAGACTGCTGGGAGGAGTGACCATCGCTCAGGGAGGAATTCTGCCTGTCATTTGGGCAGTCCTGATGTCCAGGAGGACCGAGAGGCCCGCTAGATCTGACAGCAAGCTGGATCCGGGTGGACGGATCGATATCTGTGGCCAGATTCTTCGGATTTGCTGCAGGAGCTCCTTCCTGCCCACAGCTATCAGCATCTATAACAACTCGAATGAAACCAGAATGATGAGCTACGACAACACTCAATTTCCCTTTGGGATTAATAAAGGATTTTGAATTGAATTGAATGTGGGTGTGGGGAGTGGGTTGAGCTTGTGCAGCACTTTAATCAACATCACTGCTGCCATACCAATGGCTTAGTGATACCAAGTTCATTATTATAAGAAAACATTCAGAATATGACCACAAAGACATTTCCTTTAAAGCTGCCTCTGGTCATTCCCAAATACTGTACACCATCTGAGCCGCCCGTGTCCCACAACAAAGTCAACTTAGTTTAGTCAAAATCAGTTTAGTTTATAAAGTTTATTTATTAGTTTATTAGTTTATTGAGTCTGAAGTCATTAATTGTACAAAGTTGCTATATACCTACCTGGTATAATGGTTTTTGCAAAAGTAAGTGGTTATTTGCTATCAAAGCTGAGAGGTAAGCTCCAGGTGTTGGCTATGGAGAGGCAATTAAATGTGAGTTGTGAAGGACCACACTTGGAACTCACTCAGTGTATCTAATCTTGTTCATGGTCACAGGATCATGTCTGTCTCCAGGAGTCCACAGGTGGGAGGAGGGCTGCATAATGGACAAGTTACCAGTCCATCACAGTGCTAACACAAGCACACAAGACAATAATAACACACATCAAGGTCAATTCAGAATCTCCTATTAAGCTAACATGCATGTTTTTGGACTGTGAGAGGACACTGAGTACCCACAGATGAATGAAGAGAACATGTGCACTCCACACGGAAATGCCCCAACCAGTGTTTGATCCTGCGACCATCTTGCTGTGAGGAGACTTTGACCAGTCGTGCATTGTCTACTTGAAATGCACGTGTCTGCCAGGTATGAACAGGATTCTTGTTTTCATACAGCCTGAAGGACAAAGAGTCTTCATTAGCTCTGGACGTAACACATAGTAGTTTCAACTGAACTCACGTCTACGTTCAGTCTCAGGCCTTCATGATGATCCAGGTGTTCATTTCATTTAAAAAAATAAAATAAAAAAAAAACACATTTAAGCTCAAACAAGAAATTCTTTGTTAACTAATAATTGTTTTCAACATTAGAGAATCAAGGCTAATTTGTTTAATAAAGCGCAGAGTGGTGATCCATTAGGTGGTCTGCTCCTGTTTCACAAATTGCACAAACTTGGTCAGTTCATCTGTAATATGAACCTAAAGCGAGTCCATGTCAACTTCATGTTGTAAATTAGGATGAAACCTGTCAGAAACAATTGTTACAATGAAAGTAGGTCTGTGCCAGTTTTTGTTCTCGGCTGTGGTACTGAACAGACCTAATTCAACTGATGAGACAGAAAATCAGAGAGAAATGGTGACACGAGACTAAAACATGTCCATTCTGTGAGTTGTATTTTTTATTTTAAAAGTAAAACAGTGGATTTGATATACATGTTGGAACTTCAAAGGCCAAGAGTGTCCTTGATTGTTTCTGATTTGTTCTAATTTACATCTTTAATACAACAAGTTTCTTACAGACACACATTGATAACCACAGAACTGCAAAGTGCTATTTTATTATTTTTCACCATTATAATTCATTCTGCTGTTGAAGTGGGCTCATGGCCTGATGCAGAACAGCAGTCTATTGTTTTAACTTTTTCTCAACATTTTGTTGATGTGAGTCAGTCCAATGCAAAAAAGATTCATTTATGATATAAAAAAATGTTGGACAAGAAAAGAGCTGACAAAAGATATTTTATTGCATAAGACATCTTTCTATAAATAAGGATTTTCCCAATTGATCTTTAACAAACTGATTAAATAAAAAAAGCAACTTCCTAAAATAAGGACTCTGAGAGAATAGTTCAGTACACTAAAAGTATTTCATGAACCAAGTTAGTGCTGTTGAAAGAGTCTTTATAACAGAACACATCGGGGAAACAAAACAGCCACTGGCCAAAAGGATGGCCCAGCACAGAAGATCAACATCATC